TCCCATGTCAAAAATCAGTGCAACTTTACAGGAGTGAGGGAAGAGGAGAAGCATTTTTGCCTCATCACACAGAGGTTGGGATTAGAGTTCTTCTTTTGGTCCCCAGGATAAAGCAGAGAGGAATCTATTATATTTTAATATTTTCATTTATTTGCCAGTCTTGTGTTAAATTTATGGGTGGGATAAAAGTTTTGTAGGAAGTAACTTTGGGAGCTTGCCAAAGAGCTTTGCCTTTATATTCATGGTTTACCTTGCAGATCAATTTGGCACAAACAGCCCTTTCTCCCCTTTTCGTAAGATCAGGGGTCTTCAAACCTGGCCCTTTTATGACTTGTGGACTTCAATTCCCAGAATTCCTCAGTCAGCATGCCTGGCTGAGGAATTCTGGGAGCTGAAGTCCACAAGTCATAAAAGGGCCAAGTTTGAAGAACCCTGCTCTAAAGTTTGTGGTTCAAATCAAGTCATTGTCATCATTGCCCTCTGTGATTGCTAGTGCTATATCTGATACTAATCTTTTTGGAAATCAGATTTATGAGTGGCCCAATGTGATTCTTTGCATAGAACCTTTTAGACCACTTCCATAAGCCATCCAAACAAGGGTTATCCATGCAAATATAACCACACTAATTAAATGTGGTATGTTTGCCATGCTGTAGACTCACTTATTGTTGGCTTGGATGATAAAAAAAATGTGCATAGACTACAGTCCAGTATTGGCCAAGTAGAGATAGTGGTAGCATAAAACAGTTCAGGGGAAAAAAAGGCCAGACCGGATCTAAATAATCTCACCATAAGTTGAAGTGAACTATACAGCATTGCATATCATGTTCTACATTCTTACTCTCTGTATTTCTTCTTCAGTAAGAACTTAGATACCCACCAAAAAGGAATATGAGGATAACTTTGAAGTAAAAATGTAATAGCATTTATGTAAACAGAAGTTTAACTCTGAAAGACGAGAAGTGGTGGGAAAGAAACTCAAAATTGCCCCATCCTGATTCTCTTTGGTATAAGAAGAGGGAAAGAGAAAGTTTTTCAAGCTTTCAAGATTTTGTTTTTATTGCTGCATTACTTATCTGGATCACAGAAGAAGGCCTCTGCTATAGTTCAGTACCAAAAGACATGAAGTTCCCTCTAACTCACAATGGTGCATCTAAAGCTTCTGCTTTTTGCCCATCCAATTTTTATCTGCTTTCCAGATTGCTCATAGGCAAAGCAGAAATATTTTATTCATCCTTATTTCCTGCTTTGTAGTTTTCCTGTTGTTTGTGAGGAAGTGCGGAAAGATGGTGTACTGCTTTGGACTTCCCAGAAAAAAGAATATTTAAACTAAATTTGACAATTTCAAAGAAAAATTAGGAATCACTGCATCACTGAAGACTATTCATTAATGTTTAACTCCCAAGTTCTATATGCAAAAGAACCCCACACTGCCTTTTAAAGAGTGAAAGGAATTAAATGCTTCTTTTAAAAAGATACAAGCCAGAAGGCTCTTCCCTTCAAAATAAGATTATTCGGTTAGACTGGTTTCCAATGTTTATGAAAAGAATCCTACTATTACAGTGTTTCTCAATTTTACTAACAATAGAAGTAGTACTTTGATTTATATACTGCTTTATAGTGCTTCACAGCCCTCTCTAAGCGATTTACAGAGTCAGCATATTGCCCCCAAAATCTGGGTCCTTATTTTATCAACCTCAGAACAATGGAAGGCTGAGTCAACTTTGAACTCTGCAGGAACAAACTCCTGGCAGTGGGCTGAGTTAGCCTGCCATACTGGGTTCTAATAGCTTGAAGATGTAGGGACTTCAACTCCCAGAATTCTCCAGCCAGCAGTACTACTGCCGTACTATCGTACTAATATACTACTAAGATGGCAATGCCCAGGTACAAAGTATGGAAATCAGCAGACCCCAACATTTGCAGAGTATAAAAATAACTTTACAAAGAACTTGGTGGGAAGAGAACTGTCAAAAGAACATTTACTTACTCAATTGTCATAGGACCCTGTTTTTGTAGGTGATGGACAATGAGATAGGAGAAGAAATGGAATTAAATAGCTGCAGTTCCATGTGCTTCTGTTATATTTTCAAGTTACAGCACTTCTATAATGTGTAAGTAAACTGTGCAGTAAGCTCACAAAATATATCATAGCAATTATGTCATCAATGAAAATGATGATAAATAATTGAAATATCTAAAATGACACCAACTTTGAAAAATTCAGCAATATTAAAAGTGAAGACTCCATAAATTGCCAGTAATGCAGTAGCTTTACAAGTCATTAGTAAGAGATAGGTCACAGATTTAAGGATGCAAGGCGATGAAAATGTGCTGGCATGAATGCAAAGAAGGAATGAGGTTTGCCATGCATTTGCCAGAGTCAAGGAAGGAAGTGGGGAAAGGAGCTGAAAGAGACTGATAGTGACAATAGCAAGGGTGATGAATTCATGTGAGTTTGAGTCTACATTAGGCATACTGATCTCTCTCTGGCTTATTTTAGGAAGAATTTAATTGTAATTTCCTGTTTCCTCTCTAAGATTCTTGATTTTAAAATTGCCACCAGATATTTTATAGTTGTAACTGTGAATTTCCTCTTGATTATTTGTTATTAAATAACTTCCCACGCCACAAGACGTGGAGTAAAGCCCATACAGTGGTTATGTTGAATGTAGATTGTTTTATAGACCTCAGATGTGGATTCTGTTATTTACTTTGCATTTTGGTTTTATGTACTTTGCATGTTTTAAGATAGTACGTTGTTCTTTTTATTGGGTTGAATTTTGTAAGCTGTCTGGAGTCATGCACTTACAATTAATAAATGTAAAATAAACAAAATAAATGAACAACAAACAAGAGTATAGATGGAATTATAAAGTTTTAATGCAGTTGAATGTTAGGATTTTATTTACAATGTTAGAGTATATTGTCAACTGCTGGAGGCTGGTTTATACCAGGAAAGTACAGGATGTAAATACACTATAGTAAGCAAGTAAATAAATAACATAAATACTATAAATAAATAAATACTATAGTATACACACCCTCAGAATTTGTCAATTTTGACCTTTAGATTTCTCCTGTTTCCTTTTCTCAGACTCTCCAAATTACTTGCTTCGATCTCTTAGCCTATATGACACTTTCCACATAGTTTTTATACTCAATAATGGCACTTCCCCCTCTAAAGAAGATTCTGTACAAGGAGCCTGTAAAAAGCAAACTTTCCCACTTTTGGGTTTACCACAGTAGAGTTCCAATTACATAGTGGTAAAGTATGAAATAAGGATGGGCAGTTATTTGGATCCAAAGAGGAAAGGGGGCTTCAAAGCAAGAGTGGAGGCATGAAGGAGCAGGCAATAGGTTGCAACCATGAATTTGGAGCTTGTGTAAGAATTGCTCAGTTGAAATACTGCCACGTATCGCACTCTGTTAAGTGTAATATGACGTAGAACTTTTCAACAATGAAATGCCTACATGAACATCAAGAGAAAACATAGGTATACTAAATGGCATATTTGTCAGCAGTCATCTGGTAATCTAAGCTTTCAGTCATAGTCAGTATACTTCCATTCCTCTAGAATTGCATGAAATTTCTGATTCAAATAACTCAAGAGGTAATGACTGTGTCACTCAACATCATCACACACACACATACAAATTGTACACAGATATTTTAAGACCAATTCTGAACTGGCATCTGAATGTTAAAAATGTAAGACTCAGTTCTTAATCACTTCCCGAAGCGGCCATCTGTCCTATTTTTCAGTACAAAAACATAAAGAGTTGTGAAATAATATATTTTTCTATTTAAAGGCAATCTCTAGCTAATGAACTCTCCAGGCCAAGACTTGTTTAAAATCAGATTATCATGAGATATAAGGAATGGGGTATTTACAGATAGTCCTTGACTTACAACCACAACTGGGACTGTAAACTTTGAGTTAAGCGCTGCAGTTATTAAGCAAGGCATCATGTGATTACACCCAATCTTACAATGTTTTGCCATGGTCATTAACTGAGACGTCATGTGATTGCGATTTGTAACCTTCCCTGCCAGCTTCCCCATTGACTTAGCTTGTTGGAAGCAACTGGGAATGTCACAAATCGTGACCGCTTTTCCCCAAGATCCTGCAACCCATTGTAAACATGAGCCAGTTGGCAAGCGCACAGGTTGTGATCATGTAAAACTCACAGGGACTCTGCAGAGTTGTACTGTAAGTGTGAAGACAGATCATAAGCCACTTTTGTTGTAACTTCAAACAGTTCTTAAATGAATAGATGTACATCAAGAGCTAGTAAAGTAGTTTCAAACTTTATCCATGTAAATAAATTTAAAAAGAGGTATAATAACTCCACATTAAAAATAGCAAAAGTACAAATTGGCCTCAGTTTCTTGGAGTTTTGGAAAGAAAATAATAGTCATGATAATTTACATATTCAATTGCATTATCCAATCTGTGAAATATTTTTCTTCCAAAAATAAATAAATAAAAAGATAGTCCCAATCTTCTTCAAATCAGTGTATCCTTGATGTATGAAAGCCACCGTAGGCTCAGAACAGAACATTCTTTTAAAAATGCTCAGAATTAAAATTGGCAAGCCTTAAGCAACTTTGTCAGACGTTTTGTCCTGACTAGAGAGATTGGAAATTATCTCAACACATCTGGAGACATCAGAAATGATGGGAGAACTCCATTATGTGGAGAACAAACCAAAGGCCTTCTCTGTTGACAAGTTCAATGCAATAATAAGATTTTGTTAAGTGGGACATTCTTAAAGAGTTTGCATGACTCTTTGGCTCCCCATATTAAGGGGCCTCGTGCTTGAGCAGGGGTTGGACTAGAAGACCTCCAAGGTCCCTTCCAACTCTGTTTTTCTGATTGTAGAAGCATGGCCTTCAAGTCCATTTCATTGTACTTGAGAATGCCAAACAGAAGCTGAATGAATGAAAACCCAGAGCCTTTGAAGATGCTTATGCATAGCTACAGTGATATACTCACAGCTTTCACAGCGATTTCCAGTATAGCCAGCCAAGCAGGCACATTTGTAATCACCAATTTTATCAACAAGGCAGGTTCCATCATGTAGACACGGAGATGAAGAACAACCTGAAAATGCACAAGACACCTCAGTTCCTTCCACAGGCTGGTTCTTTCTCCTCTTTTACCTTTTTTACACTCCTTTCTCTCTTAGTGAGAGACATTTGCAATGCCAGTATTTGGGTGTGTGTGATAAAACACAGTATATCTTTGAAGCTGCGAGACAGTGATGTTAAAAATGCTTCTACCTAGCCCATCCTCTGCCCCAATAATCCTTTTTGTGAATCAATTTTTGTCAAAAACAAGGTAATGAGATGTGATTGAGATCATTCCATGCTAAAACAACTATTTTTAAAATTGAAGCAGTTCCCAAGGGAGAAGCTTGCCATTTTATATACAGAATTTGTGTTTTTAAAGCCAACTGATCTCTGATTAGCTGAGTGTCACAACTACAAAATGATCCTTTATAGTTTTAGGGGATTAGGAATAAAGCAGCAGGGAAGAAGCCACAGAGGAGAACTCTACAACTGCATTTGCAGCAAAAGAGCCTACGGAGGTCAAATAAACGTGAAAGGTCAATGAAGAGATCTAGAAACACTGCAAGCGGTCTGAAAGGGGTTTTGGTGAAGGTGGTGTGAAGCCAAAGGCTCAAAAATGAATTGTGCCAGAGGAGATGGAAAGAATCCCACACATTGTCAAAGTATTGGCAGTATTGACACTTGTTATGTTCAATATATAAGTACTGTTCTTAGTATCACCCTTCAAAGAATCCTTAATGATAAGGATTAATAGAGGGATAGAATCAAGATCACGTGAAGTATTAATACCACTTTACAATGCCTTGGTAAGGCCACACTTGGAATACTGCATCCAGTTTTGGTCACCACGATGTAAAAAAGATGTTGAGACTCTAGAAAGAGTACAGAGAAGAGCAACAAAGATGATTAGGGGACTGGAGGCTAAAACATATAAGGAACGGTTGCTAGAATTGGGTATTCTAGTTTAATGAAGAGAAGGACGAGGGGGGACATGATAGCAGTGTTCCAATATCTCAGGGGCTGCCACAAAGAAGAAGGAGTCAAGCTATTCTCCAAAGCACCTGAGGGCAGGACAAGAAGCAACAGATGGAAACTAATCAAGGAGAGAAGCAACCTAGAACTAAGGAGAAACTTCCTGACAGTTAGAACAATTAACCAGTGGAACAACCTGCCTCCAGAAAATGCTCCGACACTGGCAGTGGAACAACCTGCCTCCGGTAAATGCTCCGACACTGGAAGTTTTTAAGAAGAGACTGGACAGCCATTTGTCCAAAATGGTATAGGGTTACCTGCCTGAGCAGGGGGTTGGACTTGATGACCTCCAAGGTCCCTTCCATCATCATCATCATCATCATCATCATCATCATCATCATCATCATCATCATCATCATCATCATCATCATCATCATCATTATTTAGAACTATCATTAGAATAATAGAATAACAGAGTTGGTAGGGACCTTGTAGGTCATCTAGTCCAACCCCTGGCCCAAGTAGGAGACCCCACACCATTTCCAACAGATGGTAGTCCAGTCTCTTTTTGAAAGCTTCCCGTGATGAAGCTCCCACAACTTCTGAAGGCAATCTGTTCCATTGGTTGATTATTCTCAGAAAATTTCTTATTGTCAGAAAATTTCTCCTTATTTCCAGGTTGAATCTCTCCTTGATCAGTTTCCATCCGTTATTCCTTGTCTGGCCTTCAGCTGCTTTGGAAAATAGGTTGACCCCCCTCCTCTCTGTGAGACCCTCTCAAATATTGGAACACCGCTATCATTTCTCCCCTGGTCCCTCTCTTCACTGGCCCTTCACTCTTCACTTCACTCCTCACTCATCTTAGAAATGTTTTTCCAAAACTCCCAGCCAATACACCAAAGTTCATGCGATCATCATCATGAGTTCTAGAGCTGCGATCCAAACTCAGCTGGGAAAGATAGTCTTGAAAACATCAGTTTCCTCTTGAGGCACTGTATGGGCTTTCAGTCCATCAATGTGGTCCGAACAATGAATACAGGAAGACCGCCAAGGAAATTCTGTTCCTCCGCTTACACTGACCTTCAACTACTCTCAAGGCTTTTGTCCTGGGAAAGATTTCACACAGTTTGTTAAGTGTGTGCTGCTGGAGGTCCCACAGCTCAAGCAAAATTTCTCCCACCCATCCCTTTGCTCATCATGCAAAGCACATCCTTTCTCATCAACAGTTTCAGGGAGCAGGTTAATGCTTTGCAAAGGAGAACATTTTAAACGTTTTTCATTCAAGCTGTATACAGTCAAACTGGAGTCTGCTCTGCATAGATTATCTGAGTAGCACCCACCTTATCTCTCCATAATTGCTGCTAAAAACTGGGGCGGAAATAAAGGGGGGTGGCAATAGCGGAATACCAAGCGGTTCCCACTGAGAAGAAGAATCGAGAGCTATTAATCCCCCTTGTATGCAATGTGTTAGTCCCTTGAGGATGGGAGGCCTTTCTGCAACATATCCCACGTCAAGTCTCATTTCATGGAGTCGACTTTTGTCTTTTTATAGACCCTTTAATTAACATAGCCCTCCTTCTAGCAGCTACTGTGATGGTACTGTTTGTACTTTATGTAATAACAAGGGAGGGAAAAATCATGCCCAGCAGATCAAATAGGGACACGATCTAAAGTAGACTGAGCGATGGACTTTGAAACGGCAGGACGATATTCAAGACCCTTTTGAGAGTCTCAAAGGCCTTCTACCAGAAAGCCATTGGAGCCCTCTCCCACAGTCCATCATTGCCCTGTATTCTGTCAACATTATTTTTTTCTTTATTATCAATTGTCCATTGCTGTCCATGCCCCAAGAAAAAATAAGAATGGGTGGAGAGATCCAGCACTCTGAATTCATTCTTAGGATTTGAAATGACTCGATTCTCTGGCTTAAAAGACGATTTTTAGAATAGAATAGAGCTGGAAGGGACTTTGGAGGTCTTCTAGTCCAGCTCCCTGCTCAGGCAGGAGAACCTATACCATCTCAGACAAGTGACTGTCTAGCCTCTTTTTAAAAATCTCCAGTGAGGGAGTGCCCACGATTTCTGGGGGCAAGCTATTCCACTAGTAAATTGTCCTCACTGTCAGGAAGTTTCTCTTTAATTCCAGGTTGCTTCTCTCTTTGGTCAGTTTCCAATCATTGTTTCTTGTTCTGCCCTCTGGTGCTTTGGTGAATAAGGTGACCCCCTCTTCTTTGTGACAGCCCCTCAAATACTGGAATACTGCTATCATGTCTTCCTATTTCTTCTTTTCTTTAGACTAGCTAAATCCAAGTTCTTCATATGTTTTAGTCTCCAGGCCTTTGTTCATCTTAGTTGCTCTTCTCTGAATTTTTTTCAAACTCTCAACATCTTTTTTGTGATATGGCAACCAAAATTGGCTGCAGTATTCCAGGTGTGGTCTGACTAGGGTTTTATAAAGCGGTACTAATACTTTGCGCAATCTTGATTCTATGCCTCTGTTTATACAACCCAAGATTGTATTAGCTTTTGGCTGCTGCTGCACACTGCTGGCTCATGGTTAAGTGATCGTCCACTAGGACTCCAAGGTCCCTCTCACAGTTACTGTTTTTAAGCCAGGTTTCATCCAATCTGTACTTGTACCTTTGATTTTTCCTACCTAAATGTACAACTTTGCTTTTCTCCACATTGAAACTCATTTTGTTGGATAGGGCCCATTCTTCAAGTTTGTCAAGATCTTTTTGGATCCTAAGTTTGTCTTCTTGGGTGTTGGCTACTCCTGCCACTTTGGTGTCATCTGCAGATTTAATGAGTTCCCCTTCAATTCCCTCATCTAAGTAATTTATGAAGATATTGAAGAGTACTGGGCCTAAGATGGAACCTTGTGGTACCCCACTGCTTACTTCTCTCCATGTGGATGTAGTGACATTGAGGACTACTCGTTGAGTACGGTTTGCCAGCCAGCTACAATCCATCTGGTGGTGATGTTGTCTATTCTACTTTTTTCTAGCTTACCAAGGAGTAGGTTGTGGTCTACTTTATCAAATGCCTTACTGAAGTCTAAGTATACTATGTCCACAGTATTTCACTGGTCTACTAGTTTAGTCACTTTGTTGAAGAATGGAATAAGATTGGTTTGGCATGATCTGTTTTTAACAAACCTGTGCTAGCTACTAATTATAACTTTGATTGTTTCTAGTTGTTCACAGATCTGCTTTTTGATTATCTTTTCTAGGATCTTCCCAGGTATTGATATTAAACTGATTGGTCTGTAGTCTCCTGGGTCCATTTTTTTTCCCTTTCTTGAAGATGGGAACCATATCAGCCCTTTTGCAATCCTCAGGTACTTCCCTGGTGCTCCAGGATTTTTGAAATATATGGTGCAATTGTTCTGAGATAACATCTGCCAGTCTTTCAGAACTCTGGGATGTAATCTGTCAGGCCCCAGTGATTTATATTCATCAAGGTCAGATAGGTGTTCTCTTACCATTTTCTTGCTTATTTTAATTTTTGTTTCTAATTTGTCTTTTGCAGTGGTTTTTTTGGTATGTTGGGCTATAGTTTCTTTTTGTGTGAAGACTGATTTAAAAAATATGAGTTAACAGCTCTGCTTTCTCCCTGTTGCCTATTATTTCCTTGCCATCTTCTCTCTTTAGTGAACATACAGTTTCCTTGATTTTTTTTCTTGTTGTTAACATGTTGGAAGAAACTTTTTTTATTATCCATGATTTCTGTTGCAAGTCTTTGTTCGTTCTAAGCCTTTGCTTTCCTGACTTCATCTTTGCATGTTCCGGCTATCTGCTGATAATCGGCCTTAGTTATGTGCCCCTCTTTCCATTTTTTGTATTTGTCCTTTTTGTCTTTCAGTTTGTCAGAGAGATCTTTATGCAGCCATGCTGGTTTCTTCTTGAATTTCTTGTTTTTCTTTTTCAATGGTATTGTGCTGGTCTGGGCTTTTGTGATTGCATTATGCAGGGTTTCCCATGCTTCTTGGGTTGTTTTCCTCTTTAGGATTTTCATCCATGTGATCTTTCCTAGGTTCTCTCTGAGTTTGTTAAAGTTAGCTCTTTTGAAGTTTAAGACACTGGTTGGATTGTTTTCTGTTGCTAGTGTTTGCATTATATTAAATTCCAGTATGACATGGTCTTTTTCCGATTACTTTTTCCCCTGTTTTTGTGAGGTGCGGCTCATCCCTTGCCAGGAGCCCTTCGCATAGGAAATGCAGTCCATGATCCAGGAAGCCAAAGTTTTCTTGGCAACACCAATCCTTTAGCCAATGGTTTATTTCTAGAATTCTTTTTTCCCTCAATGGGTGTTGGCCTTTCATTGGGAGTACGGATGAAAACTCTACTTGTGCTCCTAGCTTCTTAACTTTATTGCCTAGTTGTTTGTAATCTCTCACTATTGCACTCAGGTTTTTTGTTGTGTCATTTGTCCCAATGTGGAGGAGGAGGAAAGGGTAGTAATCAGTAGGCCTAATTATTTTGGTTAGGTTCTCAGCCACATCTTTGATTTTTTTTCTCCAGGGAGACAACATACCTCCCTGGATTGTATGTATTTTGATTGTATTTTGTATTTTGAATGTATTTTGATCTACCTGATAATTTCAAATAGCAAAGTATGCCTTGAATTCAGCCTTAAGTATGGAGGTGAGGTCTAGAGTCACTCTTCAATACTTTACTGTGCTATTTTTGACATGGAGCTCTCTCACATTTTTTCTCCATCCAGTTTTCATAAAATGGAAGTATTACTTGTGAAAGAAACCAGTTCATTTAGGAGACCACATAAGAAAGTATAGATCAATATAGTGTTGCTATGCATATGTACATGTCACACTATTCTCTTTGGGGATAAGCATCATTAGGCAAAGCACAGAAAAGAGTAAGAAACAGCAAGCCAAATGAATTAAGACATGAGATAAAGGATAGAAAAGGGAACTACTGTATGGCTAGATGTAGTTTACCCCAAATATCTTGTTATACTTCTGTACTTCTCTTTCTATATAAACCATCCTGTTTCCAAAACTGCTTACATTGCCTTTTGTTCCTTAAACTTCTCCCAGCCTCTGTGTATGACTCCATGTTCACTGTTGCTCCCTTTGAATAGAGGAACAATAGCAGCATTCTTCCAGTTATCAGGCTCAGACACAATCTTCACACATAATTAAACAAGAAGCGCAAACATTCCATAAGCTGACTGCATTTTAACTTTTTCCCACTTAAACCATCTACACATATAGCCTTTCCATTTTTCAACATTCTCACATTGCACTTTTTGACAGGTAACTACCATTCCTGTAAAAATGTCTAAAACACTTCTTCAAGTATTCGCTCACTTTAAGCACTTCCCATATTATTTCATTATTTTTATAATTCCCTTTATTCTGCTGGAGGCTCCTTGCTTAGCCCTCATCATCCCACTTCCAACATAATATTTTATTTCATCCAAAATTACTTTTTTTCTCTGCCTATTGCAATCTTTATTGTTGCCTGTTTTCCAACTTCATTCCTGTTATCTTTTTCCTCTATATACGCCTTATAGAATCTGTCTCTCGTTCTCATCCATTTTTATAGCAACATTTCTTTTTTGTCTTTATTAAATTTATACACTGATTAATTTGGAAACCAAAGCCCAATTTTACCCCAAGCAATCTCATGGAATTCTATACAGGCTACATTGCAAGTCAACAATATGCCATTGCCCATATCCCACCAACCAGAGTACATGCACTGTACTGACAAGCACAGAACAACACAACTAGTTAAATATCACTTTATTTATTATCCCTAGGAATTATCCCCAGACCTATCTGCTCTTGCAACAAATCCAGGAACTGGGTGAATTTATGACGAGTCCTGCTCAAATGTAGGTAAAACTCAACATATTCAACCCCTTCTTTTAAGGTGCTGTACAGACCTTCCATGCATTCTGTCCTTCTGTATTGCCTCTATTAGGAACTGTTCCCTCACTCACTTTTGCCTCAGTATAGTGCTATTCTTTGCATTTCCATTGGTAGCAGGAATTCCAGATCAGTTTCACAATGGTTTTTAAGGGAAGTGGGATTAGAAACAGTAGTATAGTTGCATTGAAGTGACAATAATAAAAAGGAAGTAGCATTTTCAAAGAATGGTATGAATGAAAACATGTAAGTTCTTAGGATTCCAATTAGCTGTATAGGATGCAAAAGAAAATATGATGGATAGAATTTTGCTGCTTATTTGTTATTTTTTTTATTAATAACCATGTAAAAGCCATGTATCTCCCACCTTGATGGGACTTGGTTCTTGTCCTGTGTCTTAGATAGGATGTTGTGGAATTTTAGTGGTAATATTTTCTGTTTGAGGTAGCGTGTTTGTGCGGTAGTAGGATAATGTGAACATAGAATCCTTCTTTGTAGTATTTTTTAAATTATTATTATTCTTTCCTACTTTTAATGTAAGCTACCCAGAGTTGCTTTAGGTAGCTTCTAAATTTCATAGATAAATCTATTTCATAAATAAATCATGCCATTTACCCATTGTAATAATGCTTTCCTACACAATGTATTGTTATTCCCTTCTTTTGTCTACTTAAAATTATGGGTAAATCTCACAGTCAACCTAAAGGTGACCTCAAAGGCATTTGGTCTGATAAGATAAGAATGTATGTTTGTAGCTTCTCAGAATTGGGAACTGGTTATGGGGGAAAAAACCACTAGAAAAATTGGGTTGTTTGTAGATAAAATCAGCCATGGATCACAATTTTTACAATTTTAATAGAGCTTGCTTTCATATTAGGACCTCAATATAAAGTATTTCAATAGCATTAAAAAGTGGGGGGGGGGGGAATCTAAGATCAAGCTATTTTAGTTAAAAATATCTTCTATTACATACTTCTTACCTGTGATTTCTTCAAAAACGGCATGAAATCCATCAAAATTTTTGGAACCATCTGAATGAAAAAGGACATGAAGGGAGGAGCCAGTGCTTCGTATTGGGAGAGGCCTGTCATTGCCACAAAAGCGTTTAATTAACTTGCTGTCCACACTGTCCCCATCACGGACTTCCACATAATCGTACTGACACATGTAGTCAAATTCTAGACTCAGCATAGCAAACCTTGACCAGAGAGAAAGAGACAGAACGACAGATAGAGGACAAATTCAGACGCCAAAATTATAGCTCTGTGCTATTTGTTCTGTAGGACTGAAATTTCTACTTTGCTTCTGTGCTCTCCTGTCTCTCAAAGGTTTTTCCCCTGCATTTTTGCAAATCACATAAAACAGAGTTAATAAGTAAAATTACTGCGCTACCAACATTCTTTCAAGTCTGTAGGAAGCTTCTATAATATGAACAACCCTCTTCCAGACTTCCTCATAATTCCTGACTTCAAGAAGAGTCATTTTGAGACTGGAGGAGAATGCAGAGAAATAATCCCAAAGGTGCTTCTTCCAAAAGGCAACTAGACTTTCTTTGTTTTCCTCGGAGATATTTCACTTCTCATCCAAGAAGCTTTCTGAATGAGAAGTGAAACGCCTTCAAGGAAAACAGAGTAAGTCCAGTTGCCTTTCGAAAAAGCACCTTTGGGACAACCATGACTGAGAATCTCCATAGAAACGTAGAGAAATAATGTTTCAATAGTAGAGCATATACCAGTGGTGGCGAACCTATGGCACGGCTGCCAGAGGTGGCACTCAGAGCCTTCTCGGTGGGCACGCGCGCCGTCGCCCCAGTCCTAGGCCTTTAGCGGGGTTTTATAAAACCTTTTCGCTTTAGGATTCTGCTGTCGTGTGCAATCAATCAGTCAATTTCAACTTTTCGTAGGGAAAAAAAAGATCTTGCAAAGTTGGAATTGATTGATTGAACTTTTTAGTCCCACCCAGTCTGCCGTTACCACTGCAGCCATGCCCACCCAATGGGCCACACCCACCCAATGGGCCATACCCACCCAGCACCCGATGATGATAAGTGGGTTTTGGGTTGCAGTTTAGGCACTTGGTCTCTAAAAGGTTTGCCATCACTGGCATATACCTTCATGAAGAAGCTTCCAGTTCATCCATGGAATGATCTTCTATTAATAAAGATGGACCGAGGGCCAATTAACTGAGAATATATCCTGTTGCATTTATTTTTAATGTTTTTAAACTGATACAGAAATTCAAAGACAGGCATTTATTTATTTATTTAAATACTTTGTATTCCATGATTGAAAATAATGGCTCTGGAGAGGAGCCAGTAAAAATTCCTTTAGTGCCAGGTTTAAAATATTAGTCGGATACCTCAACACACCTTTCTCCACAAATATAAAAAGAAAATTCAGTATATTAACATCCTACCTTAATTCAACCACAAATCCAGGTTTGGCATGTATAATCCATTCGCACTGGGCATTCAGTGGATAGCTCTCCAATAAAATCTGACCTTTGGAAGCTTTGAGAACCTGTCCACACCCTAAAAGGAAGAGAGAGAAAAACACATAGATATTTACAGAAAATTTATCTCAGGAACAATGCCAAAAGACAAGTTATTGGCCATGTGCACATTAGAAAAAATCTTCTTTTTAGATACAAATGTAACCTGAGCATGTTTTCCCAACCTAGCCAACCCCTAGAACAGGGGTAGGCAACCTTGGCTCTTTTATGACTCGTGGACTTCAACTCCCAGAATTCCTGAGCCAGCATGGCTCAGCTTGGAAACCTCTCCCTTTCCCCTCAGCATGACTGGCTCAGGAATTCTGGGAGTTGAAGTCCACGAGTCATAAAAGAGCCAAGGTTGACTACCCCTGCCCTAGACATACATGATATCCTATAAAGAGCCTATTATTGCCTGCATGGAATTTTCAAAACATCACAGCAGATTCTTGGCCTGTCCATCATGGCTATATGAAACTAAAGAAAACTCAGTCAACCCTCAACCTTGTTCCAGGTCGCTGTTCAAAGCACAACTATTGCTCAGTGAGCCCATTCATTGAAATGCAGTGATGTTGCTGCTATACTCATCCTACAAACATGGGTACGTTGTAGGTTCTTCTAAAACAGCAGTTCTCAACCTATGGGTCGCGACCCCATTTGGGGTCGATCGACCATTTCACGGGGGTCGCCAAGCAAGGCTGTCCGCCATTTTTCTCCCCTTTTCCGGCAGGTGCCTTACCTCCCTTGGGCTGGGCCAGCTGGTGGTCGGCCTGCTCCATCTCTGCCGCTTGCCAGCTACGCCTCGGCCGGCGCAGGGGGCAGAACCACGCATGCGCGGCGCTTCCGGGCAGGGAAAGTCCTCAACTTACGACCAGTTGGGTAGTCCTCGACTTACGACCGGTTTAGTCCTCGACTTATGACCGGTTTAGTCCTTGACTTACGACCGGTTTAGTCCTTGACTTACGACCGGTTGGGGGTCGCAGCATTAAAAAGGTTGAGAACCACTGTTCTAGAAGAAAAGCTCATAAAAAAGCACAACCGCTGTTTTGCTCCGCACAGAATTGCAAGTAATCTTCCACATTTCAAAGACCATGGGGGGGGTGTACATCTCAGTTTGTCCCACTGACTGGCCCCATTTGGCATAGATAAACTGGAAATGGGAAGAAATGGGACAGGTACTGTATATCTTCTGCTAATTTCCATCTGTCAGTTACAAAAGGCCACACTGCTTGGATCTGTACATATACTACACCAATACATGATGATATCCTACGTTCTTGGGAAGAACTTAATGCAAATTAAGACCAACACCAGCTAGTGAGCTGGCAGCTGTGATTTCACATTGTTGTGTACATAATAATCCTTCCAAGGATACCCCTTTGGTGTGGGGGAGGGGCTTGTGGTGCTCTGATGAGTTTGAGAGCTATGCTGATCGTAATCCATACTAACAGAATGGTCACCCATGTGAAACAGGTCTTAGTGGAAGAACCAGACTAACCCTTTTAATAGGGTGAGAAATAGAAAAAAAAATACCATACCAGATTGATCATCACACATTCATCATATTAGATATTCACATTCCTGGGCAGCTTTTGACAAGTGGGCAATGTGATTTAGGAGCTGGGCAACCAGGGCTTAGTCTTTTGGGAAGAACAATAACCATAGACAAGACAAAAGTATACCTTGTTTGAAAATTGCATCATTATGGCCGGCTATAATAAGTCAGAACCACCAAAGTGGGGCTACTTAAAATAAATATTTGAACTGTGGAAAACAATTTATCCAGACTTAAGTGTCACTAAACAATAATTAGCAGAGAAGAGAAGATTCATTACCAGAAGTAACATAGTCAGGGATGCAAAACTGGAAGAGATTCAGAAAAATAGTGAAAATGGAAGACCCAGAAAACAAGAGTAGAATAACAGAAGAAATTTGGATAACAACAATTGGAAATGTAGAGGAAACAGCTGACGTGAACTCCAGAAATGATAACTTAGAAGAAATAATAATAACAGAACCAGGGAAGCCCAATATTGAAACAACCTATGAACTTACCCCTCATCAAGAACAACAGAATAACAGAGTTGGAAGGGATCTTGGAGGTCTTCTAGTCCAACCCGTGCTCACGCAGGAAACCCTATACCATTTGAGACATATGGTTGTCCAATCTCTTTTTAAAAATCTCCAGTATTGGAGCACCAACAACTTCTGGAGGCAAGTTGTTCCACTGATTAATTGTTCTGTCAGGAAATTTCTCCTACAAGAAAATTATGGTTATGCAGAATTACTGGCAGAAAGACAAAGACTGCCAGCATTGAAAATAGCATCCAAAAAAGACCTGGCACTTATAATGAAGGATGTGAATAATACACTTGCAAGGATTAAAACAACATCTATTGGACAGAACTATCACCTTGCCCATAGTACAGTGATGGTGGTAACAGAAGAACTATGCATTAAAATTAGAAATCCAAATGCAAAATCATATTCAATCCCAAAATGGAAGATCTGACTGGAGACCAAGATAAAGAAATTAAGATCAGATGTGAATAACTTAAAGAACATGAAAGACAAAAAAGTGAAGGAAGTATGGATCAAGGCAAGCCCAATTATTTTAAAAATGGCTTAACTTAAAAAAATAAGCTCTGGAAATAAAGCAACAAATAAAAGCAATAGCTAGGCACAATGTTACAAGGCACAAATTAAGCAAAATCAGATATTTCAATAAGATAAAAAGTGATATAAATAGCAACAGGATTTCTGACAATGGAAAACCAAGCAAAAAAAAAGCAATCCAGTTTTGGAAAGATCATGGGAAAATCAAAGGGATTATAATAAAAGTGCTGGATGGATAAAATAATTTGAAGATAAACTTAGTAAAAATTGAATGGAAGAACTAATAACAACAGCAGAAATGGTTAAAAATTGAACATGAGCAAAAACTAGACATATCCTGGAATTAATGAATTGCAGGGCTTTGGGCTCAAATACCTGAGTAGTTTACATGACTAAACAACTAAATGAAATATTGAATAAAAGAGACATCAGCAAATGGTTAATAATTGGCACAAGTCTTGACACACCAGATTTAACTGTGGTTGAAAAGAAGAAAGTGTGGATAATTGCTGTAACAACAGTAGAAGACAAAGAATTGGAGAAGACCGCAAAGTATCATGATCTGAAAATCGAAGTTCAAAGATTATACAGGTAGTCTTCAATTTACAACACAATTGAGCCCAAAATTTATGTTACTAAGTGAGAAATTTGTTAAGTGAGTTTTGCCCCATTTTCCTACTTCCTTTCTGCCAAGGAAGTAGGACTGGCCAACAAGGCAGGTGGTCCAAAGGCTAAAGAGAGAGCCATTCAAAGAATGCTCCAGAGAAACAAGCTCCTATTTGCCACAAACCACTTTGTTAAGTGAATCAGTGCAGTTGTTAAATTAGTAACACAGTTGTTACTGGGGAATCTGGTTTCCCCATTGACTTTACTTGTCAGAATGTTGCAAAAGAGGATCACATGATCCTAGGACAATGCAACTGTCATAAATGTGAGTTGGTTGTCAAGCATTCCCATGACCACGGGGATGCTGCAATGGTCATAAGTGTGAAAAATGGTCATAAGTTACTTTTTTCAGTGCCATTGTAACTTCGAACAGTCGCTAAGTGAATTGTTGTAAGTCAAGGACTATCTATATAGCATAAACAGCCCATGGTCCCACTGGTTATCAGCACACTAGATGACATACCAAAACATCTTAGAGGGCACTTAGAAAATTTGCATATTAACAATATTTCTATCTGTTCAATTGCAAAAGACAGCTTTGCTTGGAAGAGCTTACATCCTGCAATGACACTTTTAACACCATTAAACAACATCTGCCTATCCCAGGTCCTTGGGAAGGACACAATAGATGGATAAAAATGCCAAAACGTCTGTCTGCCTATGCAACCAACCATAATAGCACTTTTATTGCTTTCCCTACCAAAAGTAATTGCTTACATGAATTTTCTGTGGCAAAAATGACAAAAGGAATGACATAAGGTTTGTTCAGTCTTAAGTTCTAATACACAAACAAACAAACAAACAAACAAACAAACAAACAATACAAGGAGCCCAAAGATGGTACAGAATGTAAAACTATTAAAGAGTACAGAGAAGAGCAACAAAGATGATTAGGGGACTGGGGGCTAAAACATATGAGGAACAGTTGCTGGAATTGGGTATGTCTAGTAGTTTAATGAAGAGAAGGACGAGGGGGGACATGATAGCAGTGTTCCAATATCTCAGGGGTTGCCACAAAGAAGAGGGAGTCAAGCTATTCTCCAAAGTGCCTGAGGGCAGGACAAGAAGCAATGGATGGAAACTAATCAAGGAGAGAAGCAACCTAGAACTAAGAAGAAACTTCCTGACAGTTAGAACAATTAATCAGTGGAACAACCTGCCTCCAGAAGCGGTGAATGCTCCAACACTGGAAGTTTTTAAGAAGAAACTGGACAGCCATCTGTCCAAAATGGTGTAGGGTTTCCTGCCTGAGCAGGGGGTTGGACTAGATGACCTCCAAGGTCCCTTCCAACTTTATTATTATTATTATTATTATTATTATTATTATTATTATTATTATTATTATTATTATTATTATTATTATTATGGTACTGGCTGATAATAACTGTTACACAATAGCATTCTTGCTTAGCTCCTTCAGATTTCCGAAGGAGTTGATCAGGAGAACCTTTATGGAATCATGGTCTTCCGAGTGCGCTTTAAGGTGTTAGTTACCACCTTTAAAACGCTCCATGGCATCGGACCTGGTTACCTCCGAGACCGCCTTCTGCCACAGATTCCCTCCCATAGACCGGTACGCTCCCACAGAGTGGGTCTCCTCAGGGTGCCGTCGGCCAAACAATGTCGGCTGGCGACCCCCAGGGGGAGGGCCTTCTCTGTGGGTGACCCCACCCTCTGGAACGAACTACCCCCCGAGATCCGGACGATTCCGGATCTCCTTACCTTCCGCCGTGCCCTCAAGACATGGCTTTTCCAGCA